CCCCCCTTGTGGGCAGGTTAAGGGTTAAATTTATGAAAAATATATGCCAAATAAAAGGTAATGATATTATGCATCTATATAAAAAAGAATTATATTGATATGTTCATTTTTGAAAAAGTTATGGCACTTTTAAGTAAAAAAAATTGAAAAAATTGAAAAAATTAGCGATTTTTAAATTCGTAATTTTTTTGGAGGTTTTCCCCATTTACGGGGAACGAGGTAATTTTTTTAATTTTTGAGGGTAATGTCTTCGACTAGATACAATTTGTGATCTTTTGACGTATCATTGAAAGAAATCGGTTCGGTGAGAGCTGAGAAAAAGTGGTAACAGACACAAAAAAAAAAATAAATAAATAAACACATCTTAGTAAAACCAGTACCTTCTCAGCTTCGCATCGAAGCTAAAATTATTTCAAATTTTTTTTTACTCATAAAAATTCATTGTGTGGTAGAATAAAACTATCTTTTTTACATCTTTCGGAGGTAAAATAATAATATTGGGATTATTTGAAATATTTTTATTTTAAATTAAAAAGTAATGCATTTTTCTGTATTTATTATGATATTTGCAAGTAAATTGATTTTATATTTTTTCGTATAAAAAACAATTAACTTTTTAAAAATAGTAGATAAAAAAAGTATTCTTTATCTTATGTGATCTTAAATTTTAATATTTTAGAATTGGCTCATAAGATGTATGAGTTGGTCTTAATATCAAAATCAAAGGAAATAAATTTTAAAAAGTTATATCAGAGCTTAATCCTGATTTATGTACATGGTGATAATTTTTAATTTTTGTTAAGAGAAAAATTAGTTGGTTTAAAATACTCTACAATAACATGTTATTGTAAAAAAAAATTTTTCATTTTTTCGGGGTTAATAATTATTAAATTTAATCTTAATAAACTTGATAATATAATAGAAGAAAAAAGTAAAAACAATTTTGTTCATAAAATTTTGGTTATACGATTGGATGAAAAAAATATCGTTGCACAGAGATAGTGTTGATAATTCTGATAATAAATGGCCCAGTATGTAATTGTCCTTTGTACAAAAGGGGATATAGACCAGTTAGTCTGTAAATCTGTTAATATAAACTACTGGTATATTATGATGAAATTTATCGGTTATGAAGACCAGCAGCGTGGTCATTTAATTACATTTTAAGATAAATAGAACTAAAATAATGTTATTCTATTATATAAATAAATATGTTATTTTTATGTTATATACATGTTATTCTATATATGCTATTCTAAGTGCACTCATGTAATGAAACTAATCTTGTCAATAGTTACCAATGTCAATAATTTTTGCTGTAGAAAATATATTACGAGAATTTTTAAGCATAAATAAAATCCAATTTTTGTAGAAATTGTATTTAATCAAATTTTAAACTAGTTTGTTCATAAAATAAAGACAAACTAAGGGAGTAGTTTCAATAATTTTACAACATAATATTATTTATATATTTTACACAATATATGTCTAAATATAGCTCTAGGGATTTTTTGACAGTTCAAGGTAAAATATCCATTCAAAATAATACTATTATTTTGAGTAGCATTTTTTATATTATAATTTTAATATAATGCTATTTTGTCTACAATAAAGTAATTAAAAAATAACGAGGTAAAATAAAGAAGCAGTTTGGTGTTAAAATAATAACATATGCTTTTAAATTTTAATAGAATTATGTAAAATAAATTTTATTTGTTAAATGTTAATGTAACTTAGTAACGTTTGTTTTAATTTAAGATTAATACAAAAATGAATCGATAATTATTAAGAAATGGATGGTTTACCTTTCATACCAGGATTCCGGTTTAAAGATATAACTGTAAAACATAATTTTGAGGTAATTTCTTTGAATATTATAATTGTTTTAACTTGATTTATAGAAAAAAGATTATCATTTAAGTCGCACGTACAGCTGGAAAAATGGATATCCTATACCTAAGGAAAAAGTCATTGGTATTGGTAAAGCTCATTTAGATGTGGACTCGATTCTTTACGCAAAGACATCAAGTAATACTGGGTCAGTACACTATTAATTAAATACACGTGTATTGTTATATATAACATAGAATTTTAATATATCTATTATTGGAACAGTTATGACCCTACGTTAACTTATGGAAAGGCAAAAGATCCTCCAAAAACAAGAGTCGATTCGCATTATAATAAGTACAGTGATAAGTGTCTTAGCTTCGAAGCATACACTAAATCAACAGTTCTGGAATCTCCTGTAGAAACTTACAGAGTGCGTCGAGTAAAGATAACATATTTTTTGGTTGATGATACATTAGCCATTTTTGAACCAGTTGTTCAGGTAAATAAAGTTAAGCTTCACTTTTTAGACTCCAGTAATTGTTTAAAGTTATTTTTTAAGATAAAATTTTAGAAATCACAATGTTGATTCTCTATTATCTCATGAATCACTTTAATTGATTTTTCATTAAGCAAAAATTGAAAATCGTAAATGAATCTTCTTCCTCGCCTTAATCCCAACTACTTGGATTCGGTCGAAAATCGTAAATCGTAAATGAATAATAAAATTGTATAGCATTTATTAAATCTACATATGTTCAAAATATTTTTAAATATCAGTATATAAATAATATTTTTTTGTACTAAAGTTAGTTAATCAAATTAATAAGATAATTTTCAAATCATCAAAATATTCTTTTAAGGAACTGAAAATCTTATTCAGTTAAGGCCCTTCTGCTGGATAATGTTTTTGAATTTTTACTTATTATTAGAAAAGTATTGTTACTATCATTTACTTATGTTAATTAAACATATTTAATATGTTATTTGAGCTTAGAGGCAAAGCTGAAAAGCTATTGATTTTCCTCGATTTTTTTTTTGTGTCACTAAACACGATTACTTTGCTCCTATTAGACCAATTTTGCTTAAAAATATGTTAAAAGAAACGTTAAAACTTATTAAGTTGAAACTATCAGCATTATAATTTTGAAAAAATTTCCGTAATAAAAGGAAATTCTCAAAAATATAGTTATATAATAATCAATATTGTGATTTTAAGTTTCACTGTACATTGAAGTGACCTTTTTGAAGTCTATTTATGAAAATTGCGTGGATTATTGTAAACTATTTTATTGATAATACATCAGATATTTGTGTTGCTAAAAGTATAATTTTATGGATATGTTTTAATCTAGGAACTGAAGGGTCTTGAAAATTATGTAAAATTAAAGAAGTGTTTAAAGAACACTTAAGAAATTTAAAAAATCAAGAATTTGATAAAATTCCGGAGGCTGAAAATTTATTGATATATAATCACTCCATTAAAACCATAAAACTAATTAAAAATGTAAAAAATTACAAAAATTTTATATAAGAAAGGCAATAGAAATGTTTGACAATAAGAACAATTTAGTTAATTGGTATCTTGGCCCACTGAAAAATTTATTATTAAACTTATGTAAACTGGCAAAATGTGATATTACTTAGTGATTAGGTCATTAGGGGTATAATATTTAGAAACAAAAAATTATGTTGATCCATACATTTTTCAAAAAGTTATAGCAATTTAAAGTTGAAAACATAAAATCGGAAATTGAAAATTTTAATACAAAAATAGCATGTTTTAAACTAAGGCAGCCATTTGTACGTAGATGATAAATCGTTGGGACCAAATTCTCTTTTTTTAATTTATTGTGAATAATATGAGATTTAATTTAACAAATTTTTAATGTTAATAGTATTTTCGAACATTTTCAAAAGTTAAGATGAAAAAATTGACTTTTGTGAAAAAGTCGCTATTTTAAATCCACTCTATAATGGCAGGTAACTAGTTAAGTTTTCAAAAAAATTATATCAAATAAAAGAGAAATACAAGGTAAGGTACATAAGGTTTTTATATATAAAGAAAATGATTTTCATTTGTTCATTTTTAAAAAAGTTTTAAGAAAAAAAATATGTTAAAAATGTTAACCAATTTTATAAATTGTAATTTTTTTGTAGATTTCCCTCATTTACTAGGAACAAGGGGAATTTTCCATTTTCAATTTTCAATTTTTAAGGGTAATGTCTTTGACTAGATACGATTTGTGTTCTTTTGACGTATCCTTGAAAGAAATTAGTTCGGTAAAAGCTGAAAAAAGTGGCGACAGACATAAAAAAACCACATCTTATTAAAATTAATACCTTCTTAGCTTCGCATCGAAGCCATAAATATACATATGTTGTTAGCAACATAAATGTTTGAAGTATTATCAATAAAAAAAATTGCAACTATTCGTTCAGTTTTTAAAAAGTCTCTTTAATATACAGTGAAATATAATTAATTATATTTCTTACTATAATAATTAATTATTTATAATTTTTTGAGACATTTCCTCTTATTATGGAGATTAAGAAAAATTCTTTAAAATTGCGCTGCTGATAGCTTCAACTAGATAGGTTTTATGATATTTTGACGTTCTGTTGAGTAAAATCGGTTCAGTAGGGGCGGGAATAATAGCCTATATAGACAAAGAAACACAACAGTGTAAAAACAAATAGCTTCTTTATTAGGCATCGTAGCTGAATTATAAAAAATTAAGTTAATTTTCAGTTTCTTTTTTTTTAATAGAATGCTGGTTACCCGCAAGGGTGTATCTTAAAACGTAGCACTGTTCCCAACCCGAATAGGAAGGATAGAACCTGGCATTGGTCTGATTTTAATAACGGTGTAGAACTCTCTTTATACGGTATCGTCTATCGTCTATGCAGTTGTGACTCGTATACGAAACAGTTCCTATCTATGCAGGGTATAGCTATAGCTCCAGAAGAACCGATTCCCAATGACCCATATATAATTTCTAGAAATCGAAAATTACAGCGATATCAATCAAACGGAGTAATGGATGTATTCATTGAAAGATATACTGAAGATGATAAACTCAAACGATTTTTGATATATGATGGGAAAGTATTGAGGCAAGTGCGTAAATTCTATATGCCAGTTTTTTGTGAAAATGTATACCTGAATTTGATAATGGTTTATTATTTTTATTTAATCTATTGTTTATAATCGCTGTAATGTTATTCTTTGAATATTAATATGAATTTATAATTATTGATAAAGATTTTATGCAGCCTGGGACGACGATGGATCAGATGTTATTAAAAAAAAATACTTTATCATTTTGTATTATTTAGCTGATGATAAAATTGAAATATTTGAATCAAAAGAAGGTAATAATATGTGTGGTAAAGATGCATTTCCAGTTTTTCTATGTAAAATGAAATTGCCAAAAGATAGAACTTTGTTACCAGGTATCTTTGTAATATTTATTTAAGATGACGGGGAATTTCAAAAAAAAATAGAATTTATTTATTGTTAAAACATTTTTTAGCTAATTTTCCATCTATTTATTTGGAATGTAGCAAAGAGGAAATTAAAGATTATTACGAACCCAAAGATTTTATTATTGGGAATATTATTTCTGTATTTGGACGTAGGTTTGTACAGACTAGTTAAAAAACCGTATTAATATTTTGCAAACACTTAAAATAACTAAATTTAAATGTCTAAATGATTTTTTGATTTTAAAACAAAGTAATAATAGATATTTAATACATATTTAATTATTACGGTTGGATTTTGTGTTATTATCACACAGCATTGAGCAAATTATTGTTTCAGATTTTTAGTTTATGATTGTGATTGGTTCACTCGAAGTTATTTTAAAGAAGAATTAGATATTGATCAACCCGATCCAATCAAAGTAATAGAAGTTAATGATTCAGATTTTTCAAATAGGGCTAAGGTGATAAATTTAACAAAATTTGACTAAAGATAATTTCATTTTGTATTTTTACAAACTCAGACAATACCACCGTATACGGGAATTGGCGATCCAGACGATACAAGACAGAACTGCTTGTCCCTAATGCCAAAACCACCTAGAACTTATGACTTTGTCACATATGTTCTAAACTCGGATAAGAAATTACGATTCAAATTGAAATTAATGGGGATAAGAGAAGATGATAAATTTCGTGAATTTATAATGACGTTTTGTCTTGGTAACGACCATATTACAATACAAGAAATAGCTTCTGGGAAAAATAGTGGGTTTGGTAAAGGTAAGTTTATGTCATCTATTCGACTTCGTAAACCAGGCACCAGTGTTGATGATCAAAAATTTTATGGGACCAAAGATTTTGCACTTGGTGAGTAATAAGTACTTAAAAACTATTTCAATTAAAATATATACTTTTTTTTATCGCTTTTATTGACCCGTTAAAGGTTATAGCCACCTCATGAAATGATGAGGTTTCTTAACTATATACAGTATAAGGTTATTATATTTAAAAAACAGTGTTTTAAACGCCAAATATTTCAAAATTTACATTGTTCTATGGGACATTTTAAACGTTTTAAATTGTTTTTTAAACAATATTTTTTTATAAAAAAAGATGTTTTTTATAAACTCTGATTCAGAGCAATGCTTTTATCATCAACCATTTGATTAATTAAAATAAACATTCTAAATGTTCTGGTGTAATTGAGTACAGCGAAAAAATATTGGGGATATGTATAAGTACAATTATAAACTTAAGGACACATAATACAGTATTACCAGTAATACACATCAGTATTTCGGAACTTAAATTGATGCAGTAGGTGAGGCATAGGTGTTAATATTTTTATCACCAGACATTTTTCGGATTCACTATTCCTACCATGTAATTACAAAAATGTAAATAATTTCTGAAATTTTTTTAATACTTTTATAAATTTGTATAATATTTTAAGTTTTTATCGACCATTAAATGACCAGTCATTTACAAGTTGACACCCTTATATGATATAAGGGATAAACATATATATATATATATATATATCAATATTAATTTTATTTTTCGATTAATTAAGTGGTTCTTAATAGATGTATTTTTCTGTGTATTTTGTGATGGATGGTAGGTCGGTATTTGAAAGAAGGACGTTTATTCATAATAGCGCTGCTTGTGATCGAACTCTGAACCCGTTACAGTGTACGACAGGCCATTAGGCATTTTGTATGAGGGGGTCAAATAGCTTTTAGAACGTAGAGTAGTGGGGAGATTTATTCAACTATTACCTCTGCTACTATGATTTTATATCCATGAGAAAGATTTGACCTGGACACTCCCCTGCTATTTACGACACTGCATCAGACACCTATCGCGTTATCGACTTATTCACGCCGTTCGTCGTATTAAAATAACTACTTTAATAATTCAATTAAAAACGTAAAACATATCAAGAATAAATGCATTTACCGAGTTTATTTAATTATATGCTATATCTATTACGCAGGAGCACAGATACATGTTAGAGGAATAGTGTTTATTATTACTGGTTTAGACTTATGGACTTACAACTACATGAATGATCATCCAGAAATGTTCACCAAGGAAGCTATCGAAGGAGCCCAAAAATATATCGAAGATGAAGGCTTATTGAATAAACAAGAAACTACTACGATTGAGAATGTCAATAAAAATTTAGATGTCGATGATACTAAAAATTTATTTGGAAAAGAAGTAGTTGTTGAAAAAATTGATTAAGAATTTAAATTTACGATCTCTATAAATTTTATTTTTTTTAACGTTTTTTTATTTTATTTGAATTAATTGCATTACTAAAAAACCCTTATTGTTGATATTAAAGACACCTGGCAGTTGGAATTTAATTTTTGTATTTCAAAGAAAGATAAATAGTACACTTGTGTCTAATATCCTTAATACTGGATAAAAAATTAGTTGACGTTTGACTTAAACATTTATAGTAAATGGTTTATTTTTGAATAATAATATATCCTTAATTATTTTCATGGGATCTTAAAAACATTTCAATCCTAAGTCATTAATTACCTCCTAGAAGTGCCAAGTTTTCTTGAATCTCTATTGCACATTGTGTAGGACGGTTCGTGACCAATTTTTACGCGTTTTGCCAAAAGTTTTGGAAACAATATATGCTTTTCATATCTATAATAATAATCAAATGGAAATATTAATACAACAGTTAATACAATATTTTTCAATACTAACAGTTGGTATATCGGTTACTGATATATTTATATACATATATTAGTAATTTAAGTTTAAACGTTTATTATTATATTGTCATATTGATTAAAGAGACATAAATTCAATAAATATTACCTGTAAACATCATTGTATGTATTTCCATATGTGAATACTCCAAGAAGGGAAGAATGAGCATGTACATCTATAACTAAATCTAATTCCATTTTCTAGAAAAATAAATTGAAATTTCACTGTTAAATAATGAGCATATTTGAATCTATAACTCTATTTCACGTGATCTACATGACTATTACCAATTATTCAACTCTGCCTTGGTGTATTACAGTATTTGAAATACATAGTTATATTTATTTTGTTAAATTATCTTAATCTAGTGTTTATGTGTCTCAATGAATGATACATCTTTATTTTTTGTAAATTCTGTAAGTACATTTATTACTATCTTCTTATCACTTATATATATATATATAACATATTTTATATGTTGTATTTTCATTTACCCAATTCGAAATGCTGATGTGATAATCATACTCATTTGTAGCCTGGATTTACTGACGCCGAACTAACAACGGGCAGTTATGGTCGTTATAGATATACTTTTTGATACCATCATTTTTGTTTTATTAACTTTGCTAATAACTTAATTTAAAAAACGGCTATATTTAGAATGAAATTTTAATGTAGCAATATTACTATAGTAGTGACAATATTTAGGATTCAGTTAATAATAATTATGAGAATTATCATTCCTTCTCTGTGACAATAGTTGTAGAATTGGTATGACATAGTGTGAAGGGTGTAGTAAAAAATTTTCTTACTAATAACCCATAACCCACAAAAAATTTAGACGTGCGATTGTTGTAAATTGCAATGAGGCCACGTCAAGGGGATAGATTCCGAGACGAGGTAGGCAGGTGGTAGTCTTTTAATTTTTAGCAAAATATTTGCTTGTAATACATCGGTTCCACCGTGTATAATTATTTATTATTTAGATTTTTTTTGCTATTATTTTTTTATTCATTTCATTATCTTAATAAAAATTGTAAAATTTAACTTTGTCAAAACAAATTATTATACTCAAACTTACCAAGAGTTTATTTATATACATAATTTATTAATGAAATATTAACAATTTTACTTAAAAGTAGAATAATTTACAGAGACAAAAAGTTCGCAAAAATATTTTAAATAAATATAGCCCTAAATATGTTCTTATCTCTAATTAAAACGTATTTGACAGGAACTGAAAGTATGAGTATTTTAAATCATATTTTTTAAACAATAATTTAATTTATTTTAATACAAAGTTATTATATTAAGTTCTAACATTATTTGACAAAGATTAAAAAAAATTATATATTGAAGTTAAAGCTATATTTGTTGGACCACTTTAATGTATAAAATAAATTGAACTACTGTCAAAAAAAAACTATTTAATATAATAACTTTTTTACGCCTCAGATTACCTCTAACCATTTAAGATGGATTTCATACAGTCAACAGAATTTAATGAAGCAGCAGATTTTTCGATGAAATAAAAATAATAGTGATATTTTATTGTAGAGTTAGCATAATAAATTATATTTTATTTAAAATCTGTGTAATTGAAGAAAATTGAAAACAGAAGATTCCTAACAATTAGTTAATTGTTATGTGAAAATCATATTAGATGCGATATCGATAATAGAATTTATTATACAATATTTTATATAAAGTATACTGGTAAATTCTATAGGAAATATACATTTTATCACCTACTTCATTTTTATCAATATCCATCAAGTAGTTGTGAACTGCATGCAATGTAGGGTGGACCCATTGTGATACTTTGTGCCAAGCTCTATTTAAATCAATTCCGAGTAGATTAGTCCTAAAACAGTTTTTACTAGTTTTGATATATAAAAAAAAGAACAAAAGGTTATATTTCAGTTAATTTAAAGCTGGAACTCAACTTTATCACAGTTTCTCATTATTAAAGCATTATTTGTGGTAAAGTTTTTAAATCCATTGAATTAATATAGAAAAATTAGAAGTTGAACCAATCAATGTCAATGTGTGTTTTAAAGTACTTTACTTCAAAATAAATTATCCCCATTAATTTTCTGTGGTAAATATAGAATTTTTTATACCTATACTTTCATTAATAATCAGAGCTTTTAACATTATATAATTAAAAATTATGCTCAGGCTTCTTTAAAAACATCCATGACAAAAAACCAATAGTAGCATTTTTTTGTGAAAATTAAAGCATTCCGACCATTTTGTTTAATAAATAGTTAGGTAATTAATATTTTACTTTTAATGAACGAATACATTTTTAATCAGAAAACAATAATTTAGAACTACTAAAGTTAATTTATAAATAAACTTAATTACAATATTTTTCATAATTATACTTAAAAAAATCTTCATTTTTTAAACTCTTGTTATAATTGTTGAAAAATGACTAATCTAAATTATAATATACAATTATAAGAACTATTGAAGTACATTGATTAATTTATGCGATTTTTATAAATAGGATTTTTTTTTTATTTCTGGTCATTGTTTCAACATTAAAAAAAGTAAACAATTTGTTTGCTTCGTGTTTACAGCAATACATTGGTATGAAAGTAAAAAAAGGATAAACGGTAGTGGTCTAGACATCTAATGAGATCGGAAATTACGTTTCAAACTCGATATTGTTTGTTAGTGAATTTCTTTTAAGAATTTGTATCACTCTTCTTTTAAATTGATTTCTGATATATGTTTTAAAATTGTTGATACCTCTTGCCAACAACAACAGTAAATTTTGCAATTTTTTTAAATTATATGAATTTACAAACACTATTAAGTGTAATAATTATTTATTTTTGTAGGCGTGTTTACATTCGACATTTCACAAAATATTTATTTGTTACAACTTGTAACAAATAATATGAGTTGTCATCTCATATTAACTATTAAGTATTTATTACAGTATATAAATATATTAATAAAGTTAGTCATCGATAGTAACATAGTTATGGTTATTAATAAGTATCTAAAATTATAAAAAAAAAGTGCGCTAAATGACTTATTATGTTATAAATGTAGTAATTTTTCATACACAACCTTGAAAAGGTACATTTTAATTTTAGTCAGTTGAATCAACACTTATGATTGTGTGTAAGACTTAACAGAACCATAATAAATATGGTTACATTCAGTATAATTGAGTATAATAATACAAAACGAAATTAAATTATCTAATACCAATATTAATTTAAACTCTGAAAAAATTGTTGGCCTGGCTCTTGTTTGAGCCTCTATATTGATAAAATGATCAAAAACCCTGGCAATGGCAAGGTAGGACCAACACTGTTTTAAAATTGTTCATAAATTATGATGCAAAGTGTATACTGTTTTCGTTAAACAATGGTTTTATTATAAAATAAACCACAAAGAAATTAATCTGCTAGAACTGTCTTATTTTGCATAACTTTAAACTATAAAATGTTTCGTAACCAGTACTTCACATTTATACTTTTGAATAATCTTACTTTAATACTTACCTAGTGGCGTTAAATATTTTTTAATATTATTCACATTACCTGGAGTTTCCAAGAGTAACACCATCTGGATTCATCATAGGAATCATTTGGAACACAATGCTTTTGCGAAGGCGTACGACAATCGGGTGATTACTGATCAAAAACTCAATAATTCCTATGATAATAATAATAATAATAATATTTGTAGCGTACTTTTTTGTTTTGTTTTTCAAATACAATACTCATTATTAAAATTTTACCTTGACAAACGTAAGAACTTGAAGTATCTGCGCCATGAACTCTGCTCATGATTACAACAACGTGAACTTTTTCCGTAGAGTTCAAATTTTTCGGATTTGTGATTGTAATCAAATCTAATGCTCTATTTTGCTACATAAAAAAAAATTTATGCCAGCAAATTAATGTTTCACCGAGTACAATTCAAAAGAGGAAAAACTTTTTATTTCAATTAATAATTATGTTTTATTGGTGGATTTTATACGTGATAATTATTATTAGATGAAAACAAATAATCTATAAACGACGTGGTTTGGTACTGAAACTTGCCGAAGTTCAATTTGATGAATGGATTTTCCATCAATAATTAATTGAGCATTTCATAATACATTATGAAACGCGTAATTTAGTTATTAAACATTTAAGTGTATAGACGCTTTTCCTTTTGGTTCCTATGTACGAAACGTTATTTTACGCATTACTACAGTCGATTCCACAAAAAGAAAGTTTGAGAGGGCAATTTTATCCTATCTACTAAAAGCGGACCAAAACTATTTAGGGAAGTTTTCCATATAGCATCCATAATTGCTTGAAAGTTATTTACATTTAAAGTTAAATTTAAAGATGATTAGCTAAAAAAAAAAGTAATTTAAAAATTCTTAAATAAAAATTTCCAAGAATAGTAAAATCTAATAATTGGCTATTATTATTATTTTAAATGTAGTAAAGAATCATCTTATTATATAATAGAACAAGGAAAAATACGTTTTACTGAGAAAATTACTTAGCGTATTTCGCTTTTCAATATATTTTTTTTCAACGATAGTACTTGTTCACGTACTCTGGGAAAATTATTGGCGAAAGTCGAAAAATTTTTGCCGCTCGCCCGCAGGTGTTTTAAAATTTCGACCGTTTTCGAGAAAAACGATTGCTGACGATAGCGTTTTACGATTTGTTGTTTGAAATTTTCACCAGAACCGCACAGTACATTTCTGAGATATCATATAAAAATTAATTCAATCCGTTCATTTTTTACCGTTTTACGAGTTTTTTTTTTTTTAAGTCCACGCGTATGTTTTGATTAAGAGTATTGACTTCTTTTTGACTCAGAATTTGTAGCAAATGGATTTTTCTCTTTAATTCATATTTAATATATTCATATTCATATTTAAATTATATTTAATAATAAATATTTCATATTTATCAGTTTTTGTATGTTTAATTATAGAGACATTATAATATACTCAACTTTATTTAGATATTTTAGATTAAAAACATTGCTTAAAGTATCATCAAATTATCAAAGATTTAAAAAAAAAGAAATTTAAATTATAAATTATAATAAATTGTTAATTTACCATCAATTGACATATAATTATGTTTAGTTTATTTAGATACTTTCTGTCGATTTCTTTCAAATATGTTTATAATAAAATATTCTTTGATATATTTAATCAAGTTTATTGTTAAATATATCTTTTGGACTTTGAATTTATACCCAGCTTACTGTTGTACTAAATGTACTTTTTTGCTTTGAACTAATTTTTTTATTATGCTCACGAATATTTATTGGGATACGATTTTGCATTTGCGCATAGCAATATATTTTAACAAAGAATGTTTAATAAGTTATAAATAAATTTCAGGACGGTTATAAGTATATGAGTTTGTATATTCATTATCAGAATAGTACAGTATTATTAATCGTATTTATCTCATCGTAAAAATTGGGATCCATCTATGAGACTTATGCTGTCCAACGTTAAACCACTGCAATCAATATTCTTATAAAAATTGAATTTTTTACATGTTCCCAGGAATAATAACATGCCGAATCTTTTTGTAAATATTCTATAATATTAATACAATTATTATAGTTAGAATATTAATAATTATTGTGTATATCGTGGACGTATTTAAGGAGGAAACAGGCGATTGAACCAGCGCTATTAATAGTTTTTTAGGATACTTCTAAAAAATATGGATCTAATGACCTTTCTTTTGATCATCATTTTAATTTTTAGCAAAAAAACTCTATAGCATGTTTATCAAAGTAAAAAAAAAATTAAATACCCTCCAAAAATAATTTCTGAATACGCCCAAGGGCAACCTCAATAACAAACGTCAACCTTATATCCAATACATTTTACTATATTCTCATTTTGAATTTTAATAATTAAATTTAAAATATATTTTTGTTACACTGATTCTGATGTAATATTTTTTCTGAAAAACACTTATCGTGCCCGGCGTAGCCGTGTACTTTTACCGGAATCGGTGGCCTACTTACGAGGGTGGCCCAAAGAGGTTTACGCACCGAATTCGCGATAGGCGAAGTCTAGTTTTGGTATAATTAAATAATACTTTTTATGATTACTATAGATTTTCCTAGGAGTTCTCGTTTGAAAAAAGGAAGCTTTTTTTTCTCTATAACCGACAAAAAATTTTGCAACCTCGAATACGAGTATGGATAGGTAAATGCAAACTGGTAGCTGTCGTCGTCCTTGTCGAATGAAAATAATATACTCAGAACATAGTTGTTACCATGGCATGAAGACCTATGATAATGTATTCTATTTAATGGAATGTGACTCCTAAAAAAACAATACATTCTTGATTTATAATTTTGTCAAATTTCGTAACCATTTTTGTATGGTTTGGTATTAGTTTGTATGTTTGTTGATTGTAACAAGTTTACTTAAAATTCTAATTTTGTTATTTTAATGTCATAAACAATGTCATGAAAAAATTTAGGCAATCATTAAAAATATTTGTGTTATATCGTTACAGATGTTATAATATTTTTCTAATTTTTCGGGTAAAATGGTGCAGAATTATAAAAAAATCTTGTACACAGCCTTTTTGTGTTCTTAATAAATTTAAGAACCTCCGTTTAATTATGTTATTCTCTGACGTAAAATCAAGGCTTTGCTATAACGTAATAGTATATAAATTCAATAAAAAATTAATGGTATACATTAAAGATACGAGTTATAAATATTTATTGTAAAAAATATTAAGAACATGAGAAATTTGCCATACGTTAAAGTAATGCCACTAAACCATGAATTTTGAGAATAATAACAATGCGTTATTTATAATTTATAAGTAGTCATCCAAAAAAGACTGAAGATAATAAAAAATGGGTTTTATCGGTTATTATTCTACGAAATAATAAACATTTGCATTGTTTAAATGGGCGAATTATACTTTTAAAGTCTAAAAATAATATTACGTAGGTAATACCTACTTGTGATATAAATAATGTACATTTTAACTGATTTATAAATTCAAAGGAAATTTTTTAATGTAGTTTTAATTTGAAAGTTATACATGGTTCAACAAATATCAATGAATCATGATAATTTCATTATTATGAATTAATCCTTTTTTTAGCATTTTTCATTTTCTTGTATAGTTAAAATGTAATAAACCTTTAACCAATTTAAAACAATTTTTTACAATTATTGTATCCTTTATTGATTTGGCGAACAATTTACATCTATTTCCCTACACATTTCAATACTTTGAGTAAACTTACAAGGGTGGTGACGTCGTTTAATATAGTTTCAGTACATGTGTCAATACAAATGCTAAATGGCTATAAAGACATTTAGGTAATAAAATACTGACGACAAATGCGCCGTCTCTATAAGTAGTATTGTGCTATGCTAACATTAGCGAATCTGACCCCTTTTTGTGTAACTCATGAAACAATACAATACAAAACGATATAACACGCCGTAATTTGGTTTTGCTGTATTTCCGACTAAAATGATATCAGTCGCAGAGGGAAAATTTGGGAAGAGTAACGGAAGGATGTAACAAAACGGGCAAAATAATAAAAACTAACAGCCGTGAGGGTTTTGTAGAGGAAGGCCATAGACGACTTAGAAACGCTTGTTGTTAATGGTCTCACGGTACTAAAATACAAAACCCCGCCGACTAGTATGACTTTTAGGGCGTTCAGAAATAGTGTTTATAAAAGAATTAGCAAAATTCTAAAAAATCTCGGAAAAATGCACCTAAAAATTAAAAAAAAATGTTTTCTTTAAAATAACACGGTGCCCATTCAACATGTGAGTTTAATGAATATTATATGTTCCGTAATTCTATAATTATAATTTTTAAAATTACCAAGTTGTTCTGCTTGTGCTTCTTACTAATGGTGTCATTCCAAATTGGTATAAGTTGTTTTTGTTGCTGATATTTACAATATTAAAGATAACGTTCTTAAACATAAAAATAAAGATTTAAAATCTTTAATAGAATTTAGTTTATAACAAAAAATAATTATTTTTGAGTGTCGAATAAAAATACGAATTTAAATTTGTTTTCAATAAACAACTATTCACGTTCATTGCTAATATCCAATAAAAATTTTAAATGTTCTAATGCAATTGAGTATAGCGAAAAAATATTGTATATGTAAAAGTACAATTATATACTTAAGGACACATAAATATAAGTTATTTTATCCGCAGAATCTTATTACGTACAGGGTAATTCATTTATTATAGTATTGGTTTTTTTTTGTTAATTTTAGCTAAATACGTTTTTCAATTTATTAACTATTAAGTATTTTTTATGTTAATACTTTATACCTTATAACGGTATTAACTTACACTTTTGAAATGGCAACATACATAATTAACTAGATTATTTATGATCTAATTAAGAAAATAACTGGTCATTTACAAATTTTGAAACAGTATCCCGGAACTTAAAGTTATGACTGGAGGTGAGGAGTAGGTGTAACTATTTTTATCACTACACATTTTTCGGTCTCACTTTTCCTACTGTCTAGGTTTAAAATGTTAATAACTTTTTATGTAAAATATCTTGTGTATACTTTTAATAAATTATGAATTATACTAAAAATATATGTGATGTTATATTATATTAATAAATTTAATTAACAGTTCATGTATAAATATTTATGGTTAAAATGAATGCTAATTAAGATCACACTGGATTTGCGTGAAATTGGCCACATTTTACTACATTCACACCTCGTTCGAGCGCAAAACGTCATTTGATTATTATTTTAGTACTTAATTATATTCCATCCACATGCGTTTCATATTTGTGCGTTTTTTTCTAGCTTTTAAGGCCATTTTTGAAAAAAATTCATATTAAATGGGAAGGCTTCAATCGTATACTGGAACAGTAAAAATCAAGATAGGATGCCAAAATGTGAGGAATATTTTTTTTATTCAGAAGAAAAAGAAAAATCCTGGAAGTTTTTCGAAAATTATCAAAATAAGGATCATCCTTATATACATCTAGGTACTTTTAAAGATACTCACGATTGAGAATCATTAATCAAAATTAAAGTATAATATAATATTTGAATAAACAAACTATTTTTAGTAAAAGAAAGAATGTAGATTTTGTTGCTCGCTCAAATTCACACTACTACTAAAATATGAGATATTGGTCATATTAAAAAATAAGCTAGTTACAATGAGCTTATTATAATTATGGATGTTGTCATTTTAAAAAATAAAGTTGACATCGATTTATAGTATAGGATCAACATGAAAAATATTTATTTTAAATAGTGTTTTAAATGAAAAACCTTAAAGAAAAATAAAAATTCTCAATTTTATTTAAAATTAAAAATATATTTAATGTATTTTTTAAGACTAAAATATTTCACTAAATTATCCACATAAATTACTAAAAGTTAACTCAAAAATTCCTTTTTTTTTTTTAATTATGTTTGTAGCTTTACGAGTTAAATATTTTTTAGTTTTAAATTAATATTTTAAATATTCTATTATATCTTAATTTGATTTTTTTTTAAATTAATTAGTTCATAGTAAATAAATCACTCTGTATAATTTTACTGAATTTTTCCATTAAAACACAATCGCAATTAAGTAGGAGATAGAATTATTGTTTTAATTTTAAGAATATTAACAAGTATATTTTTAAGTGTACACACTATTTTTAATTTTAAGTTTATTTAATGGTGTAACTTACTTGATCCTGTCTAGTGTTTTCAACTACAAAGTTGAACCATGACCTATGTCGAGGGTTACAAGTGTCTGGACGTATATAAAGATCGTATTCGTATTCGGATATCAAATCAATTCTTCCTAAATTACCTATTAATTATATAATATAACATATAAAATTACTTATTTTTTATTCGGTAATTTAATAAGCAGTTAAGAATCTTAATTACACATCAAAATTTTTTGTAAATCCAAATTAGATCAAGAAAATTATATTTGATAAAAAAAAATAAATATCAACATTTTTGACAAAATTTGGGTTATGTAATGTTTATGATCTTTTTTTAGTTGTTTCTGATAGGTTTCTAGCGTTGTTGTCGAATATGCTCTTAGTTTTTCTTTACCATTAATATTTTACCACAATTTAAATATTTGTAAAATTACGGGTTTTCCATTTTTTAATGCTATAAATTTCAACTTTTCGACAAAAATTTTTTTTTTTCTTTTAATTAACATTTTATGTATAAACCTGTTATTTTACAAATACTCAAATTTTGGTAAAATATTGATGATATAGAAAAACTAAGGGTATATTCGTAATCAGCGTTAAAAATCTATCAGAAACAATTAAAAAAAAATCATAAACATTCCATGACCCAAATCTTGTCGAGCTGATTTATTTCAATTTTGAAAAAAATGTAGGCAACTCGAAAAAAAAATTTCAGGAAAGATAAAATAAAATAGTCTATTCTTAAGCTGTATCGTTACAAATTTATTTTTCATATCTTCTTTTATCAAAATTTATTCATCTTAATATCGAAAATTTATATCGCACAATGCTGGACTTAGAAAAAAAGTTTAATACTAATAAAGTAGAAAATTTTCATCAAAATACTTTTGAAAAATTACACATGTTTCTCTCTATGTCTTAAATTACAATTTATGAAATGAAATCTTACTATTGAGCATTTTCTTCAATCAAGGATTTTTGTATATTAATATCATTTTTGCTTATAAAAAATTATATTAACTAATGGATTGAGCAAATTGTACACATTTATAATAAATAAGAAAACATTTTTTTTGCAAGGTTGTTTAGCTAAAACTATTATTATTAAAATATTGTAATTTTTCTGATTTAAAATGTATTGTTCTCTAATAATATTAACGCAAAAAATAAAAAACCCAGCACAGGGGGGTCGGGGCACAGCGGTGCCGTGGTATAGTTGGATCAAGTATAATGATATCTGACAGTGATTAAAATCACTATCAAAAATAAACGCTTCGATGCAAATCTTTAGATAGTGTTAAATTTTAAAAAAATTGGTGTTTTATTCCAAAAGCTACTTGATCTGCTGGTTCCTTATTAATATCTCGATTAAGATAAAGTATGTCGAATGAAAAAGGGTTTATTAAAAAATATTATTTCTCATAAAAAAATTGTGTGGATCCATAAACTTTTCAATAAGTTATAGCATTATAAAGTTAAATATAATATAAATAATAAAATCGAGAATTTTCACACGAAAATAGCATTCGGTAGCCATTTTCGCCGTGAAGACAAGTCCAGAGGTCAAATTTTTTTTTTTCAAATTAAAGTATATTACATTAGCTTTAATTTAAGATATATATAAAAGTGTCAGACCTTCCGGAACATTTTCAAAAGTTAAGTTGAAAAAGTTAATTTTTTGTGAAAAAGTTGTCTTTTTAAATCCCCCCTGTGGGCAGATAAAGGGTCAAATTTACAAAAAAAATATATAAAATGATAGGTAAAGACATCAAGCATCTAAAAAAAAAAATTTATATTGATATGTTTATTTTTGAAAAAGTTACGGCACATTTCATTAAAAAAAATTGAAAAAATTTCGAAAATTAGCGATTTTTAAATTTGCAATTTTTAAGGGTAATGTCTTCGACTAGATACGATTTGTGATCTTTTGACGTATCGTTGAAAGAAATCCGTTCGGTGAGAGCTGAGAAAAAGTGGTAACAGACAAAAAAAAAAAAAAAAAACACATCATAGTAAAACCAATACCTTCTCAGCTTCGCATCGAAGCTAAAAAAGATGGACATTTTTAAAAATTGTATTTTTGTTGTTGATGATAGGTGAGTAATATGTGCCACAGTAAAATTGAAGATCATACACGTATGTTTACTTTATTGGAAAATAATCGAATTCTTAAAATAAAATAATATGAAGATTATTACCAGTTTCAAAAGATGCATCAAAGCACAAATGACCTTTTTTCGCTTTGCCGCTATGTCCTGGAGGACGCATTATTACTCTGGTGACATTTCCAAGTCCAGCTTCACCTTCGTCACTGTCTGTAAAATCAAAATAAAATCTATATTACAGTATTCTACTTTATGCTATGAGTTTTGAAACAACAAATTTCTATAAGTAAAATAGCTGAAAATTTATAACTAAAAAGGGCATACAATAGATTTGTGTTGTTTCGTAAAACTAGTTATCTGGTTGGTTATGAATATAATATTTTTAAATAGTTAATATATTTAATATTCAAAACAAAATAGAAAACTAGTTTTACGAAACACAACACTTTTAAAAAACAATTAAATAAATGGTAAACTTGTAAAATAATATAAAGTATGTGCTTTTATAAAGAAACTAATAAAAATGATCAATTACCAGATTCGTAGTCTGCCATCGCTAAAAGAATGTTAACGATAACACAAGAGGGTTATAATCGCACGAACTAGTATTTCTGTTCGAGTGAACTCAACCTGTATTAATACATAGGGTCGCTTTAACATAATATGTTTGGTTACCATGACGTTTAGTTGTATTCCCTAATTGGTGTTTTTTGTAAACGACTTTCAATTGAAAATCATTGTGTTCGATGCACTTTTAGTAGTCTTAAATGATGTTATATTACAGAACAACGGTTAGGGTAATTTTTAATTGGACTTATGATTATGATTCTGTCTTGAAAATATTTAGATTCGGTAGTTTTTTAATCACGTTTTGTTGCTCGAAATCTTTTTAAAAGTAAAATTTTCAGTAAACAATTAGATTGTAGCAGACATTTTTTTGAGTTGCGACAGTTTTGATGTTGTAGTGCGATATTGCATGACATGAAGTTAACGATTTTACTATATTATATATGTGTGAACTCAAAAATTACCATAGTTTCTCCAAAATTATTAAAAAGAAATATAAGACATTAGAAACATTTAAAAGACAAGAAGTAATTTTTAATAGATTTGTAATGTTTTTATCATAAGTCATAAGTACACAACTATTGTTTGTATTACTGTCAAAGTTGTCGACCATAGTATACTAACCCTGAGAACATAAATAAGGCGGCGGATTGTCGGCAAAAATTTGGGGAATCGTAAAGCCCATTTAAAGAATTTTTGTCCCCTATTCTACTAAGTAATCTTGCCACCACCACTATTGCGACTATTGTATTACTCAAAAACATGTTCTGTTGTCTCCATAAGCGACCCTCAGTTTAGTCGTCTCATTAAACACAGCCAAGTGTGCATACTTATATTGTATGTGTATACAATAAAAGTTTGGATCATACAGGGGAAGACAATATGCATTTATTTTTCTACACTCCGGTCAACGGTCGCTGGAAATAAAATTTGAATTCGTTTAAAAATTATATTATTCGACGAGCATATAAAATTTATATGTAATAACATACAGTAAAATTTAAATAACTGTTAAAATGCGAGTAGCTATCCTATAAATTGAAAGAAATAAAAATGTATAATTAATAAAAGTTGATTCTATCAAAATTGGTTAGTTATCATTATAAATACTATAATAGTATAAAGCCAATAATTGTAGCCAAAGCTAAGAACTGAAATTATTTTGGTTTTTCGGTAATTTTTAACATATCTAATTAGTAGATCTATATTAACATTTTTTCAAGAATTTATAACGTTAATATTGTAGAAATCGAAAGTATAACGAAAGTTCTTTTAATACCTTAGCCATTCCTAAAAAATATGATTTAATAAAGTTTAAATTCAAATAACATTTTAAAGATAAACACGCATAATTTTTGGTTTTTGTAATCATTTTTTTAACATTTATTAAACAGAAATTTTATATAGATGAACTAATTTATTGGATATATTTTTACTCAATTTTTACACAATGTTTTAATTTTGTAACACAGTCTGAAAAATACTATGTATAAATACGCGCCTTTCTCCAAATAATTTAACACTCATCTCTTACGAAATGTGCACTGTCGTGCAAATTTAATTTGACAAATCGCATAAATAAAATGCTTGGCAATCCCAATTAAATGGTAATTTAGAGCATCATTGACACTTATAGATTAAAACCTCGCATAAATGTCAGCATGTTAATGGGTAACCCTTCCTTTTAATATACTTATTGGATTGACAAAAATAGCTTAACATATTTATTATTAACAATTAAATTTTATTAACATTTTTTTTTTTGTAAAAAAGCGATTAAATGGGCGTTTTTAATACCTTCACGGGATATGACTATAATGTTTGACCTAAAGTGTAGGTATTAATATTTAAAAAAAAAATTGAAATAAAATGTCATTACAAAACAAAAAATAATATTTTTTGTTACAATTCGGTTTATAGTTGTACTATAGTTCACATAAGCTTTTATTTAAAATAATATCTTAATTAATAAAAATTATGATAATTAATTAATTTTTATGATATAATATTATTGTTTAAAGGATGCACAATTCCCGAAACAGTTTCAATGTAAAGTTAAAAAATGTTTTATACGTATATTTTAGCTTCGATGCGAAGCTGAGAAGGTATTGGTTTTACTATGATGTGTTTTTTTTTGGAGTCTGTTACCACTTTTTCTCAGCTCTCACCGAACCGATTTCTTTCAACGATACGTCAAAAGATCATAAATCGTATCTAGTCGAAGACATTACCCTTCAAAATTGAAAAAAATTCCCTCGTTCCCCGTAAATGGGGGAAACCTCCAAAAAAATTACAAATTTAAAAATCGCTAATTTTCGAAATTTTTTCAATTTTTTTTTCACATTAAAATGTGAATGAAAAACGATTCACAATTATCAATGCACCGCTATCTAATAACAATAAAAAAATAGTAAAAAGTTCGATTAAATGAATAGCAGATAATTATGATCAGGTTATTTTGGTAAATATTTTAACCAGTGGTTCTCAAGCTTCTATTTATAAACTATCGGTTTGGCGGAAACGATAAATGCCCCTAATTTCAAGGTGACTACACTGCTCACCGTAAAAAAAAATCTTATCATTTTTTAGTTGAAAGAACATTTAATAATATTTAAAAAATACTATATTATAGACCTAAGGTCATTGGCGTAGTTATTATGGGAGCTCTGTTGTCTTCAATCCCATAATTAAAGATAACTTTTTGGGAAGAGTAGGTGATAAAGCTTTCTATTAATTAATTTATTCTACACCGGCAATTTTCTGTTAAGTTAATTGTAGTTTTTCACACATTAAGTTAATTTCTTTGTTATATTATGATTTTTTTATTGGATGATGAATGAAGGGTAACCAAATCTTGTTAACAGTCCGTCCATCGTCTCTGTTGTAATATTCTGTACATTTTTCGATTGCCGGTGTAGAAAAGGAAGAGTATTATGCCAAGAATGTCATAAACAGCAACAAAAACAAAAACCGGATGTAACACAACAAACTGACAGTTGTCAACAAAAACAGATAAACAACATGAATGCTATCAGTTATCAACTGATATAAAAACATACCGTAAACAAGCAAAGCCGACAGTATAGTTACGACCACGGGCATGTAACATGATCTTGAAGATGAACTCTGCAATGAGTTTGAAACGTCAGCTCATAACTGCACACATATATAAATATAGGTAGACATACAGTAAAATGTTTAGGAGTCTAGAAAAATTTAAGTTAAGAGATTAAGAGAGCTTACATGTAAAAACAATACATATAAATATTTCATTTAGAGAAATTGAAGTCCTTCAAAGTAGTGATGAGCGTTTTAAATTGTCAAATATTTTTTATACGTCTAATTAGTTTATTTTTAACATGCTCTATCAAATATTTAAAAAGCTACCGAATGTTTAATAACTTTTCGAATATATTGTCTATCTAATTTGATAGTTACTACACAATATTTGTCATAATTATATCAAAGTCTGTCTACGAAAAAATCTTAATGTTACTAAATTATATATTGTTTCGTTATTAATAGCCGCTAAAATCTTTGATTATTACAATTATAATAATATTTTGAATTTAAGGAACCAATCCCAGATTAGCGTTATTATAGCGTAAATTTTTAATTAACCCAGATCATTTATACCCGTTTTTTGATTCTGAGAATTTTTGAATACGAGTATTAATTCTCTAAATTGAATAATTAACTTAAAAATTTCTAATTTTTAAAATTTTAAGTCATCTCGAGTACATCAAAGATAATTAGATATTCGTGTTTGTTTTTAGCTTCGATGTGAAGCTGAGATGATATTAATTGTACTATGATGTGTTTTTTTTTGTGTCTGTTACCACTTTTTCTCAGCTCTCACCGAACCGATTTCTTTCAATGATACGTCAAAAGATCACAAATTGTATCTAGTCAAAGACATTACCCTCAAAAATTGAAAAATANAGTCGAAGACATTACCCTTAAAAATTGAAAAAAATTCCCTCGTTCCCCGTAAATGGGGGAAACCTCCAAAAAAATTACAAATTTAAAAATCGCTAATTTTCGAAATTTTTTCAATTTTTTTTACTTAAAAGTGCCATAACTTTTTCAAAAATGAACATATCAATATAATTCTTTTTTATATAGATGCATAATATCATTATATCATAATACCTTTCATTTGGTACATATTTTTCATAAATTTAACCCTTAACCTGCCCACAAGGGGGGATTTAAAATGATAACTTTTTCAACTTAAATTTTGAACATGTTCCGGAAGGTCTGACACTTTTATATATATCTTAAATTAAAGTTAATGTAATGTTCTTTATTATGCAAAAAAAAAATTTCGGACTTTATTTTATCTTTACGATGAAAATGGCTACCGAATGCTATTTTTGTGTGAAAATTCTCGATTTTATTTTTTACATTTTTAACTTTATAATGCTATGACATATTGAAAAGTGTATGGATCAACATTATTTTTTTATGAGAAATAATATTTTTTAATAATTCCTTTTTCATTCGACATACTTTATCTTAATTAGGATATTAATAATGAACTAGCAGATCATGTAGCTTTTGAAAATTTCCACCAATTTTTTAAAATTAAACACTATCTAAAGATTTGCATCGAAGCGTTTTTTTTTGATAGTGATTTTAATCACTGTCAGATATCATAATACTTGATTCAACTATGCCACGTCACCACTGTGCCGCGACCCCCTTGTGCTGGGTTTTTTTTTTTTTACTTAAAACTGCCATAATTTTTTTAAAAGTGAATGGATCAATACAATAGTTTTTTTAATACATATATTAGGTATTTACCTATTATTTGGTTTATTTTTTTTTTTAATCTGATTCTTCACCTATTCACAAGGAGGATTCAATATGACAACTTTTTCAATTTAACCTTTTTAAAGTGTTCCGGAAGGTCTGACAATTTTAAATATATCTTAAATTAAAGCTAATATAATGCACTTTATTATGGAAAAAAAAAATGTCGGACTTTATTTTGTCTTCATGGTGAAAATGGCTACCGAACGTTATTTTTGTGTATAGCTGAAGAGCAAAAGGAGAGAAGATTGGATGGAGTATAAACGCTCGTGCAAAGAAGCAAAGTGTGCAGTAAGTAAGGCAAAGTTAAAGAGGTATGATAGGCTAGGAACAAAGAAAGGCGAGAAAGAAATCTATAGACTAGCAAAATTAAGAGAGAAAAGGACTAAAGATTATCATTATATAAGGTGTATA